GGCCAGTTTGGGTCAGCTGTCCTGGCCGTGTCCCCCCCAGCTTCCCGAGCACCCCCCGGCCTCTCGCTGGCAGACCAGCATGGGAAGCTGAACAGTCCTTGACTGCTCAGCAACAGCTAAAAACATCAGCATGTTATCAACATTATTTTCATCCCAAATCCAAAACACAGCACTGTACCAGCTACTAGGAAGAAAATAAACTCTATCCCAGCCAAAACCAGGACAGAGACCCAGGGCAGCAATGCTGAGCATAGTGCAGATCATGGATACAGTGGTAGAATTCCAGCATCTTCTCAAACAGAGGTTTGTCAGACCTACTGTTTCCTCTACGTCCTATCCCATGGGTGATGGCTGTCCACCTCCTAAACTCCTGGAGTACACAGGTCAAAACACACCCATGGCGCTATCCCGGGGCAGACGTGCCCATTGATAGTGACGGGTACCAAAACATAGGCAAGTGGGACGCACGTCCGTCTGTCTTTTGGACACCAGCCACGGAGCGAATCCCGCTGGGAAGTGCTCCGAGCACAGTCTCGCGGGGACCTTGCCCGGCACGAAGCCGGCTGCCGGGCGGGTGCAGGTGTGGCTTCCCCCATCCGGAGACTACGTGGTTAGGAATGCAGCGCGCTCTTTAAAAGACAGCGTTTTCACAACAGCCCCGCGGTCTAGGTGGTTGTTACAGGAAAGACAATTGACACATCAGAGCAAAGTGTTTGTCTTCACATCAGTTTCTGATTCAGAGGAAGAGCTGGGAAGGAAAATACAGGTGTGCCTATTTCTGCCATCGTTACAGTTAGAATTTGAGTGGGTTTTACTTTCAGCAGCAGGTCCTGCCCTCCCAGGCCACAGAAAAGGCAGAAAACCTGTTTCCTTCCGGAAGAAATAAAATAAACATAGAAGGAAAAATAGTGGGTCAATTTTACCGAGGGGTCACAAAGGGCAAGGAGAAGCTACTGACGCAGCCAAGCGTTGCATGCACCAGGCTCCACTCATGGGAGATGATCTGTCACCATTAAGTCCACAAGGATCACTTAAGAGCTAGAAATTCTTTCAGGACGAAGCCAGAAGTAAGAAAAGAACAAAGCAGACCATGCAAAATCCCTGCAGGCTGCACCTCCATCACCTTCCTGCCTTGTGCCAATTCTATTTGTTTTGTTCTTTGCTGTTTATTTTTCTACCCTGCATTGCTTTCAGATATTTTGATGAAATCGGGGCAAGAGATAAACACACCGGCATTAAGAAAAATAAACAGAGAACATGGGGTATTTGTGCAGGGGTATCTGTTTTGCTCCTGCCAGTCCACAAAACCACAGCTCAGAGGAGGGCAGGGGCAGGACTGTGGCCACTGGCTCCACACTTAGATTTACTCAGAGTGGCTGAACCACTCTGGCACTTTGAAGATGTAAATAATATTTCCTGCTGTGTAATCCTTAGCCATCTTTCCATGAAACCTATGGAGAAATAGCACTTAGATGCAAATTTTGATACATTTTCCTTGTTCATCTCTCAGCGTCAGCTAAAGCGTCAGCAAGTGGAGCTGTTACAGGTCTACGAGTCAGAAATCTCATCTCTGATGTCTCTGACATTTTTTTTCACCAGACAGACCCTAGAGAGTTACAAACAGCCTATGCCCACTCAACACCCCTGAATTGCCTCTCATTTTCCTGACCAGAGTATGGATTTTAACTAAAAGGTTAAACGAAAAGTCTGGTGATGTTACACTTCAAAATGGCCATACAGAAATCCTTCCTTCTCGACACATGTAGACGGTTCAGGGATGGTGTGAGTTCTCAGGCGGCTGGTGAAGTCTGCTGAGGATACTCACAACCTTATACCAAAGCTGAACATACAAAACAAAGGTCACCTACAGCAAAACGCTTTCAGTTTTAGGAATTATGAAACTAGTTTAGGATTATGCATAAAGATTAACCCAAGTGAAAGTAAGAGCAACAGGGTACCCTAAGCAATCTCCTGCTGTCATAGAAGTCCCTGCCTAATAATTTATAAACAAGTTTTCACAGACTATTTCAAGATGAAAAGGCCTCCCTGGAGATAGCCTCATGTCAAACTCTTACAAAAATCACGGTTTTAGCAGAATATACAGTTATCTATTAAAGCTGCTCTTCTACCTGTGTTTCAAAAATTGGGAAACTATTGAGTAAATTTAATCTTAGTCAAGTTAGTAGGGCTCATATAACAAAAGGAGTGTCTGGAAAAAGATTTTACAGTTGAGCACTATTTTCCACTTAAACTCCTTGTGTGTATGAAACAACCTTGCTCATGAGGACCTGCTGCTTTACCAACTGATATTTGTTGCATATTCAGCTCATTTTGAGGATGCAAAACATTTTCTGACTTATCCTAATTACTATGGTGTTCCCCGCTTCATCACGTTGTGACACAACGCTACATCTCACGGTCCATTTCCTTTCAAAACTTCAATGACCAAGTCCTTCCTGGCATCAGTCCACTCCCTTTGTTCGTTTTGGGTGGGAATGGATCAAGCGCCTTTTTTTGGTTGTTTGACTTTTACGTCCTTCTCCATCTTAAATGGTATTAGGCACCTGGCTTCATGGTCTGTGATGCCACAATAATGTCCAATGGAATTTACTGCTGTAATTCATTGCTTGCTGAGAGTCTGTGAGCTGAATCTTTTGCATCCCCCCCGATAACAGACCACTGTCAATCTGACTGATTGCTGTGTTGATGAAAGAGTCAAGCTCCTAGAAAGAGGCTTGCCCTAGAGAATCCTCTTAGAGGGCAGTGCTAATAAACCAAAAAAGATGGAGTTTCCCCTCTCCTGTATAGGTTACAGGGAAAGTTGAGGGCTAAAGCATTTATTGGTTTCGCAGGACCACCGAGATCCTTCTTAAAGTCATCTTCTGGAATGATAATTGATTTTTTTTCACTCAATTTGAGACATCTTGAACAAATTCTGATTCCCTCCTGAAAAGTGCTCTGTGCCACTGGCTTCTGAAAATAAGGCTGCCTGTGGCCAGAAATACAGATATTGCCCAGTTCTGAAAATATTAATATTGAGTCTTGGAGTGAAACCTGCACTGGAGAGACAGCTAGGTGCAAAGTTACTCAGTTGGAGTGTTTTAGGAAAACGTTGCTGAAATCATTCCAGAGAGCATAATATAAACTGAGACGAGCTGAATTCAGTGGCGTCACATTCAATCGGAGCAGTTGAGGGTCTGGCACCTAAGTTGGAAAGAAGTTTGTCCCAGAGTACACACAGAACTAACGGTAAAGCAAAAATGAGAAAAAAAAAAAAAAAAAGGAGGGGAATAAACAGCAGCTCTTAGCAGAGGCTGAGCGAAGGCTCTTTTCAGACCATAAAATGCCCTTTGCTTTGGCTGTTGGGATGACAAGATCTGTACAAGAAGTGCGTACAATCTGGAGTACAGTTTAAAGTTGGCAGCATTTCTACTACACATTACCTACATGCTCATTTTCCACCTTACAGTGAATTGCACAGATTTGCTGCCCTGTTGGCACCAGCACATCAGACCTTGGCTGAGCAGCTGAAAGGGGGATGTGAAGCAGGCAAAACAAGTAGACTTGCACCCCGCAGCTTCATGGTTAGTATCTACAGTCTGTTCCCAACTCTGAGTGGATTTTAAAATCTAAAAGATAGAAAATATAATGCAGTTTTCAACCAGAGGGTTTTAACTTAACCAAATTACCTCTCATTACTGCAGAAGGGTAAAGCTTGAGGATTGTTTCAGAGAGGCTGAAATCTGATGAATCTGAATGTGATCAAGAAGTTTAGAGGGATGACATAGTAAGGTGTAAAGGAAAGCTGGGAATTGCCTAATAACTACAAACAGTGAGCAAAATAATTATATGCTCTGAGGCATTACGTGTAATTACTTCCGTTTTGAATCTAATCGAACATCACAAGCAAAGGGTGTCTCAGATCATCCAGACTATCCGAGCAGCAGTATAAAAGCATGCGCTGCTCATATCTCTCCCAACAGCTTCTCCTGACTTCTCCTCTGGGACCTGAGTAAGTTTTTAATTCTTTGTGCCTTTTTCATACACTCTTTTAATGATAACTCTAACTGAATCCACTAACAGGGCTAACCTCTCTGTAAAAGCAGCTCACTGATCCAGCAAAGAGCTTGGGGCTGGCATTATCCAGCTTCTTAAGGAACTACTGGAGCCCTTGTTAAGTGCTTCAAGGATTTGCAACTTTTCTTTCTTAAACTAGTATAGAAATGAGCTGCGGCCTTATCTTGGCTTTAGTAGAAGATGAAGCTCAGTTTTGAAGCCCTGTGTAACTAAGGTCCTAAGCTTTTATTGCTGTAATGCTTTCTATTTTTAATTTGGAATTATTTTATCACCTCACTAGCTTGATCAAAGGGTCCAGTTCTAATGAAACCTGGGTCATGCCTTTGTGTATTTCTGTGTTGAACTTGTATATGAACATCTACTTCCCTTACTGAACAACCAACGCTTTTATCAAAGGTTTACAAGTCGGTAGTCCTAAAATACTAACTGCTGGAATTGGGTAGATAAAACCAGGGGAACAACCACTTCAGGTGTGCCCATAAATCCTGTCCTACAGGTTAACTGCTGAGAAAAAGGGGTTGGGTGAGATGGCCATTGGTCTCATGAAGTACAGAAAGGTTTGTGCTCCTTTACAAGAGAGCACAGCTGCAGCAAGCACTGCTTACGATGTAGCCCTTAGATATGTTCTGTCACATCCTGTATTGACATGTCAAAAATGTAGGTTGTTTGATTTCCATAGGAAGGTTAGAGAATGTTGAGAGTTTAGCAAGGACAGAAGATAAGTGTAATTCAAACAGTGTGACTAAAAGGTGGAAGAGAGCGCCAGGAGCTATGAAGCCACATCATCGCTGTTTGGGAAGCTACTCAAGTGGGTAGCTTCCTCAACAAATATGCCTGAGTGCCTGAACATAAATCTCTAACCTACCATTGACTTGCTTTACACATAGTCTTCTGTCTTTCAGATCCACTTCCACTACAGAACAATGTCCTTCTACAGACAGCTGTGCAGCTACCAGTGCTCCACACCATGTGAGGTGACCTGCCCACAGCCCATCGCCAATGCCTGGAACGAGCCCTGTGTCACATCATGCGGTGACTCCAGGGCAGTGGTCTACCCACCCCCTGTTGTCATCACTTTTCCTGGGCCAATTCTCAGCTCCTGCCCTCAGGAAAGTGTAGTGGGATCCTCAGGACCAGCTGCCATTGGGACCTCACTTGGTTATGCGGGGTCCTATGGCTACAGAGGCTTTTTTGCTTATGGGGGATCACAGGAAAGCAAATTCTCATACCCTTATTGTTCTCAAAGAGTCAGTGGTTATCGCTCTAGAAAGTGTGAGCCCTGCCAAACCCAGCAGGAGTATACTTGCACCAAGAGCAGTCAGGATACTGAATGCAAGATCCAAACTCAAGAGTAAGATGGGTTTTTAAGATGCTGACATAAAAAGGCTGATTCTTGCTAACACTTTACATTGTATTTGTGCTTGTACCTGCTGATGTACTTCTCCTTTCTTAGCTATAAAAGTGTTGTTCTGTTCTTCTCATGGTCCAAATTTTCAAATGCATTAATACTCCTTCTACATCCAACCTAATAACATTATGCAAGAAGCATAACAGAGAAGTTTGCATACTGCGATTTCTCCCCCTTGACACTGCCTGATGCCAGTCAAGAGTTATGTTAACGGATGAAAACTGGACTGCATCATCAAACTTACAGCTACAAAAGAAGAAAAGAACACTGTGCCTGAAAGGAAGCTTCCCGAAACAAGAAACCTCATTTGGAAAAGCCTCAAATTCGTCATTTTCTGTATGATCACATTTTGCTTTTGTAAATTTTCCTCCTCTATCATCTATTAAAAAAATCATGCTGCATCATAATTTTAGCGTTCCAGTTTTGCTTTCTGTCTGTTTTTATGAAATGAGAATCTTCCATGCAGAGTGTTGGTGCTTCCATCCTAGTTAAGCCTTGTAGCGAGATGGGCATGAAGACCTTAACCAATCAAACACACCTCATTAGTCCTCTGCTCAGCAATGAGTTTTCCCATGGTCACAGAATCACTAAGGTCGGAAAAGACCTTTAAGATCATCAAGTCCAACCATCAACCCAACACCACCATGCCCACTAAACCATATCCTGAAGTGCCATGTCTACATGCTTTTTGAATGTTTCCAGTCATGGTGACTCCACCACCTCCCTGGGCAGCCTGTTCCAATGTTTGATCATTGCCTACTTGAGACCTTGTACTGCACCAGTTTGCACTGCCAGAAAATTGCTGGAGACAGAAAACAGTACAGGGAATAGAAGAGAGGTTTACCATTATTTTCATGCCCTGACACATGCACGCAGGAAGCATAAGAAGAGAGCGTAGGACACTTACTGGAAAGTCTCAGCTGGCCAAGCACACCTACTACAGCTTACAGCACAGATAACATCCATACCCACAGAAAGACATAGTTAGCTATTTCTTCATTGTGCAATCAATCTCCCCTTTATTCTTAAAACATTATTCAATAGCTCAGATCTGGAATTCCAGGGAGGTGCTGAGAAGAAAGGCAGGTGCTCTGCAGTACTCTGCTAAATAGGGTTAATGCACCAGTGAGCAACAGCTGAGGGGCTACTTGGCTAATTGCTCTATTTATCTCAAACCAATTTTTTATTCCTTCCAGCTGGTCCCTGAGCACTGCCGGATCACAACTCCCTATTTATTGAGAACTCTCCCTATCTGCTTTCATTTATTGCAGTCTTCTGTTGGTCATCTAAGTTGCTCTTTGAAATGTGATTATGCTGATCTTTAAGCTCTAATTTCTGCTTCCCTGTTTCTTGGGATTCTGCCTGGAGGCTTCTTTACTTTGCACAGTAGAAAGAAATTAAGCTAGCAAAAGATAGCTGCTCTTGGGCATTTATGATCCCAGCTGAGGCAGTTTTATGATCTCAGAAAGCTAGATATGAAAGTACAGTAGGGAAGGGGATTCAAGTTTCCTGTATCTCAGATGGGGATTTCATCACTAGCTAATTTTCTGTCTCTGGGAAGTTCCCTTTGCTGCTGTGCACTAACCTTCTCACTTTACTTCTCTATATTGTATAGAATTATAGCATAATCTAATATTCCTTTTTTTTATGGTGTGTGGAATTACAACAGTTCTGGTAAAAACCCATGGAAAGTTAAGGGAAGTAAAGGCAAGCTATTAAAATACTTTTGGAGTGGCTATTTAGTATTTCACACTGGTCTTGGAAAATTTTATCTAAGGGTTGGGCAGTTCTCTCACACCTGGTTCCTTCTAAAGATTAAATCAGGCATACAGGCAAGCTCTGCATGTTATAAGCAGTTTCCTGATGAATGAATCCATAAGCATTGTATAAACACTGTCTGTAAGAGCCTAACACTCACCTACAGATATGTAAGATAAGGGTATGGTTTGGTTCGGTTTGTTTGCAGAGGCTGCATTACCCCAAAACAGAGAAGAAAGCAAACAGATAAATGCTGTTTGGATGCAATCATAAGTGTTTATTGAGACCAAAATGTGTACATTTTAAGCAAAGGAAAAATACAAGATGGACCTCAGCGTTTTAAGAAAGGGCCAACTTAATAATCTGAATCAAACCCATTTATTTTCAGCACATTGTTCTTCTGGTTTGGATCAAGTTTCAAATGGACTGGACAAATCACAGTGTGAGGTGACATCTATGGATGTTTCCTATTAGACAAATAGATATCAAAGTAAAAAAACACCGAAGAAAAAAATACATGGTCCCAAACAACTAAAAAAATACATAGACCATTTTCCAGTGTCCTATTACACTAGTAACCACTAGTACCACTGGTGGTTTTGTGCGCTAACAGTGAGAAACAGACTTTGCATAATCAGTAATTTGGTTTCTAAGAATGGAAAAGACACATTTTGAGAAAACTGACATCAAAAGCAAACAGTGCAAGAACGCCAAGCAGAAGAGCAGTTCCCATGGGTGCTGAGCAGCACCCACAGGTCACCACTGCTTCAGAGGTCCATGATCCTCAGCTCAGCTGCACATCCAGGTCTTGCCATCCATTCCCCTGTTGTTTCTCCTGCCGCCCACACCTTCTGCCATGCTTAACATGGCCCACAGCCCCCATAGCGCTGGCTGCAGAGCTGGCTGGAGGAGGAGGAGGAGGACAAGGAGGCCCCGTAGACAAGGGAGCCCTGCAGGCCCCTGGGGCGGCCCAGCCCCAGTGGAGATGAGGTGCCCACGAAGCTCTCCTGAGGGCAGGAGCTGAGGATGGGGCCCGGGAAGGTGATGACCACGGGTGGTGGGTAGACCACGGCACGGGAGTCCCCGCAGGAGGTGACGCAGGGCTGGCTCCAGGCGTTGGCGTACGGGTCTGGGCAGGTAACCCCGCAGGGTGAGGAGCGTCTGCTGCTA